CTGGGGAATTCTGGGAGTTGAAGTCCACACATCTTCAAGTGGCCAAGGTTGAGAAATACTGTATTAGAGCCTTCTCCCGAAAGCTTGGTCTTTGCATAATGTTTCCAAAGTATGATCATTTGAGCTTGGGCTTTTGTGCCTCCAGCGAGAACTCTGAGTTGATCTAGAACCTTACCAGTAGACAAATGTTGTGAAATGCATTCCCAAAAGTTTGTTGATGTATTTGCTGTTAAGGCAGCACCACAATAATTATTCTGCATACATATACCAAACATAACATTCTGGAGGGTTATTTACACTTGCTGAGTATCTCCTAACAGCTCCTAACATAATACCATATTCAGCAACCCCCCTCCTTTTTTTTTTTTTTTTGCAAATAAAGCCCAACTTAGCTCTTCATCAACCACACAAGGTTAGATTACACTGAAGATAATGACTAGTTCCTCCCTATCACCTTTATATCAGCATTAAACTCTATGATTAAGGCTCTTAAGGTGTCATGCAAACAAGGAACAAGAAAGTAGTAATCAAGCTCAGTATCATTGTTAAGGTTGTCCCAAGGCACTTCCACAAAACAAGCACCAGAAGAACACAAAGGGAAACTGAGAAAAGAGGCAGATTTCAGTTACACATCCTAACACTGGATCCGGAGGAGTCTGATAGCACCTTTCTGACAAACACATTTTCTTAAAAAGCCTAAGTTTTCAAGCTCACCAAAGCTTATGCTTTTTAAGAAAATGTGTTAGCCAGAAAGGATGCCGCCAGACTCCTCTTGATACTTTCCTACCATAGACTAACACAGCTCTCCACCTACAGTCCTAACAAAGGGTTATAACAGGATACCAAGAATAAGTGCTTGATTACAGATGAGTTTTGAAGAGGGCTGAAGTAAGGTTTCATCCCAGCATTAGATCATGTCTGGGAAGACTCCAGTTCCAATCCCAAATCACACATGAAATGTGCAAGGTAACTTTGGGCTGCTCATTATGTTTCAGCTCAACCTATTCGCAAACTGTTAGGAGAATAAATCTGGCAGATTTGGGGGTGCAGAAAAGGAGGGAGAATTCAGACACTGGACTCAGTTCCATTGGATGTTAGTGGATTTCACATGCAATGTGACCCCACTTTTTTTACAGGACAAACTTGCACATTAAAAAATAGCAAAGTAATATATTGTATCACTCTTTGAGCAGTTTCACCTATCAAGTTACTCAGCCAAATAGCAATATTGTTACATACTTTGGAAGCCAAGTCAAAAATCAGCACACCAACCTCTCCCTTTAAGCATTTTCCACTTCAACTTGGACATTTTTTTCTTTTCTGAAACTGTCCCCTGAATCCATGTTTAAATTTAACTCTGTAATTCTGAAAACTCTGATGACACTCTGCACCAGTATACCTATCCATTGGCCCTACTGGCTGGGGATGATGGAAGAGAGTCCAACTGGCATTTGGGACAAGAGTTTAGGGAGTGTTCTGCTGCTGTAGTTTTTCAAGGTAATTGTTTTCACTTCAGGCGTCATGGGTTATCTATTGCAGCTGTTTTAATCCTTAGAGTCCACTCAGTCACTGTTGTGAGGTGGTCAGCCATATAACTTATTTAAATAAATGAACTAACATCTGCAGGGCCCCTATCTCTGATCCCAAAGAAACCCGCACAGCAGAATGTCTGCAATTCATCTGCTCTGCGTAGAGTTATGAGCAGACAGAATTTTTATTTAAGCTGTACTTTTTTTGCAGGTGTGTTACAGTTTTGGAGCCAGTTTCTAAATTGCAATGGTAGCTTTGTTTTGAGCATGGACATGCTGCGGTGAAAATAATGTGTCCTTTTCAAGCAGTTCTGGAACTGGTGTTATTGCTGTAGTACATTCAATTGCATATCACTTCTCAAGGCCGGTGTGGCACTGCCTGTCCATACAGATTCTGCCCCTCCTATCAGGTCAACTAGAGGGCCTGCTTAAGATTCTGCCCTCATGCAAAGTGAAGGAACACAGGCCAGAAGGCGTCTACATCATGGAAAACATTGCCCCAGTACTCCTGGCTTTCAGGAAACCTTTTAAAATGTTTTTAAGCGGGCACTTGATGATTTTAATACCTAGTGAGGATGATTTTATTTTTTTCGGATCATGTGGTTATTTTTGCTAATTAGTATATATGGGGACACTTTCTTAATATCTTTCTATATGCTGTCTAGTCATGTGATTGTGGTGGTATAAAATGTTAATAAACTTTGATCCAAACAAATGAATGGCTCTATATAGCCCACGTAAACATACCGTATTTTTCCGACTATAAGACGATACTTTTTTCTAAAATCCTTACACTAAAAATTGAAGAGCGTCTTATTCAAGGAAGTAAGCCAAGGAGAGAACCACGCGGTTGCAAAACTGCTCATACTTTGTCTCTGCAAACAGGCTTCCTCCTATTGTTAGCCTCCAGTCATGAGTGAAATAGCTTGACTCTGCAAACAGACTTCCTCCAATCACGAA